TAGTGGTATATGCACATTTGCATTGTTTTCTTTATACAATCCCCATTTGGACTTTGGAAGTGTGGGCGCCAAAATTTTATTTCTGATTGGATTGATAGAAGAAAATAAAATCAAAAAATTGATGCAAACTCTCAACTGTTGTGTAGCACTATACTGTAGAAAAAGTGCTATGATATATGGTATCAGGTCAAAACAGTGATCATGGCCAGTAGTTCTTCCACAATGGAACAATTAGGAGATTCTTTTATAGAAATAAGGGATTTCGATTCTAACAATCTCAGATCAATACATTTTACAAATTAGATTAGGATATCAATCTCATTGCTATTGTAAGTATCAATCCCATCAATCCAATGTGGATATCAATCTCATAGATCTCGTAAGCAGCATGCCGGACCCGGAGTCCGCACTGGGACGAGTCATGCGCGGGCCAGTAAAAAACCCTAAAAAAGATTAGGAAAAAATAAAAAAAAGTCTGTAAAAGTAAAATAAAACCAAATTGGACTTTAAAGAGAAAATTGGATTTAAAAGAAAAATGATTTACAATTTGGGACACTTTAAAAATCCAAAAAAAGAGAAAAAACATAAAATTAGAGATAATGGCAAAAATAACTGAGCAATCACAAGAACATTTAAATCATATACAAAAAAAATATTAAGCCATCTCACATTTTTTACAATTTCTTTTGATTTTTTCAAATATTTTTATGTCCTGGAGTTTTATACACAAGTTGGAAAAACTCAGCCAAGTTACTTGCCCTTGTATGTATTATTCCATAGACCATTAATCCGAACTTTCTCAATAGATACAAGACATCTCGTACAAGTGAAGTCAAGTAATTTATTAAAGAAAAGTGAGAAGCAATTGGATTAATGACAAAGTAAGGTTGCAAACAGTAATTTGATTGATGATGAAGAAAGAAAATTTTTTATTTAGTCATTTCAAACTTCAAAGTATCAATCAAGTTTCCACTCGGACTCGGGTAAGTCATTGTACAATCCTTGTAAGTATTATTCCAAAGTTTTTTTCCTTTGAGGTCGTTTGCCGGATTCTAGAGATCACATCCAAAACTTTGAGATAAAAAAGATGCTTTTAGATTAAGTTTTGCCCGAGGGGGTGGATGGATAGTATATTTATGCAGGGTAGGAAACCTTTTGACCAGAAAGTATTTATTGAATTACGGGGCAGAGAGATCTTCGAGGTCCATTGGTTATCTAGATTATTTTTGTAAGATTATAAACAATTGGATGAGAGAGATCTTCATTGTTCATTTAATCTATTTTGTTAAGTTAAAAAACAAATAAATGGCTATAGTATGGTCTCAAGATTTCTAGACGTTCCCCTATGGCCTCCCGGTGTCATCGTTTTCCTTTTGGTAATTCTTCTGGGTCAACTTTCAACTTAGTCATTTGCCTAATGATCCATCTCAAGTTCCTTTACTACTGCTGAACTGCCAAAAAAAAAAAATTGTATCGTCTAACTTAAAACAGATAGCATATGAAATTTTTTGATATCAAGTGTAACTTTCATGACAGTAGTCAATTTAGCAGCACCATACCTTATCTCTAAAATTGGTACATTTTGTCCATGCATGACCCTACAATGTACCTTAATTCTTGAAATTGGGACACTTAGTATTTGAGAACATTGCACCCAACATGGACCACATAGGGTATGATCCCTCTATAATTAGATCTTTTTCTTTCATTGTTTTTGACATGAGAGGAAGGCAGTCTTAGAAGAGAGAGATACATGGATATTTCCAGTGATCTTCCCCAAGAGTGTGTGTCCAATAGTTTTGGCATAGAAAAGAGAGATGAAACTAGCCCTAGCAATGAAACCTATCTTCAAAATACTTGTGAAACGTCAACCTTTGCCTCTGAATCTCACTCTGAAGAGTTTTACCCCAAGATTGAGCTCAAGGAAACCCTAATTTTGGCTTATCAGACCATAGGGGTGGCATATGGTGACTTGGGAACATCTTCTCTTTATGTTTGCTTACCTACTGGGATCCAAAACCCCAGTGAAGATGACATTTTAGGTACGCTAAGCTTAATATTTTGGGGGCTTACGTTCATAGGATTGCTTAAGTATGCATTAATAGCAGTTTATGCGCACGATCATGGAGAAGACGGCACATTTGCGTTGTATTCTTTGTTGAATCATCATTTAGGCCATAATATGGTGAATAATGATCTTAATCTTTCACGTTTGTCACAAGCCGTGAAGAACCTCTTAAAGAATAGTGCAATTGCTCAAAACATGGTAACTCATATTACAGACTTCCATGCTCATTGGGGATGCCATCTTAACCCCTGCACTATCTGGTGATAGACTTCTTCCCTTCTTTGTTTTTCTTTTTCTTTCTTCTCTTAATGTAGGATACTATAACAACATAAGCAGTTTTTCTTGAAGGAGATCGGCCACCTCTCAAATTTTTGAGAAATGCATATCATTGACCTCAAATAATTGAGATAAAGCTTGGATGATGATGAGAAATGCATGTCATTGTACTTGCTACTTTTTTTTAGCTTTATTGTGCTTGCAACATAAGCAACCATTTTTAAATTTTTTTTATTTTGGGTAATTCAATGGAGAAGATAAGTAGGGAGTAAACTTTTTTGAAAGTATCAATAGGTGGTCTTAGCAAGATTGGAAACCACAACGTAGTAAAGGGGTGCCATTAATACATTATTGAAGGCCCATTGTTTGTCCTCTACACTTCTTTCAACTCTCCAAGGGATTCAATCTAGAGATGATAACATGAGCACAGGTACATGATATCATGCATGGTAGACATTTCTCTTTTAACTCAAAGTTGATAATAGAGCTAACCTCTCTCTCTCTCTCTCTCTCTCTTGTGTTGCAGATGTTGTAATAATCTCAGCTATCACACTGGATCTTTTGTTTGCATTCCAACTGTATGGTACAAGAAAAGTGAGTCATCTTTTCTCCCCTATAATGGTTGCATGGTTCCTATCCACAACTATAATTGGAGTAATAAATATTGTATCATACTATCCAAGACTGTTTAAGGGCGTATCACCATAGTACATACTACACTTCTTCATGAAGGACCAAAAGAAAGGTTGGGACATTCTTGGTGCAGTGTTTTTGTCCTTGACAGGTACTTTCTTTAAGAAAATATTCCATTGTTATAGATGAAGGGAAAGTATTTTGTAGGCCCTCGGCTTCATGAAGCCACACATCGAATCCTACCAATAAATGTAATCCTGGTGCCGAAAAACCTGCAAATCAATCATCTCGACCTCAACAGTCATCAATATAAAAGAAAACGGATTTTAAGCCCTAAAAGCAATCTATCTTATAGCATCTTTTTTTTTATTATCTTTTTTAAGTATTTACAGATCTGCTAGATTTGCACCACCTTTTAAGACTTCAAATTCCATAGTATGTGGCATAAATAGAATTTTAGCAGGAATTTAGGATGCAATTTAATTAAATATCATACATCAATGATTTCATGCAACCATTGTATAGTAATATGATGTAATAACCTTCAAAAACCATTTTATGGCCATTTGTTTGATCCAAATTTGAAATATACACTATTTTCATACTAATGAACAATCACAAAAAAAGAAAAAATTGAAAACACACCTAAAAAGTTTTTTTTTAGCCCAATTAACATTGGCCATTCATTTTGGTGAGATGCTTAGATCTAAGCCTTTGAAGGATTTTTTCGTTGCCATTTTTTTTGGATGGATTTATCATCATTAGATGAACAATGTTAAAAAATAAAAAAATGATCTTGAGATTATAAAGGCTAAGATCTTGAATTCACAAAATGGATGGTCTAGTTTGTTTTTAGGGGGGACTCATTTTGACCATATCTAGGGTACAAATTAAACTTTTTTCAGGGGAGGATTAATTATTAAGATAAAGAGAGAGTGTGTGCAAAATTTGGGATCATATAAGTACCACAAACATGATTTTCTAGAAGTGTCGTTACATTATACTATGATACAACCGTTGCATTGGATCATTGCCCAATATGATGAGCATACCCGCAGCTCTTGATAGAGCAGATTAGCAGATCGGGATTCATGTAACCAAATCACGGTTGATGAAAGCCGTAGCCCTACTAAGCCGCACCTATAGAGTAAATCATTTCAAAGAAAAATATGTCTCAAAGCATACTACACAAGCACGTATAGCATTTCCCCAAAGGAGTTTACTAACCCCCTCTGCCAAATAAGCTATATGTTTATATACAATTTTAGGATCCACGTAGGAATCATTAGGTTATTTTCAAAATATAAATTTGGAATATTATGTTCTGCACTTGGATCTTGCCCTTCAAAACTCGGATAGTCCCTATTCAATCTTGGGACCTTACTTCGTTTTTCTCTCTTTTTTTTTTTGTCTTTTCAAGAATCCAATTTCAACTAAAAAGAAAAAAAAATATTGTCGCCTCAAGACGTTACATACCCAGATTTGGGTTGTTACAAATGCATTGTTTATCCAAAGGACCAAATGGACCATAAGGTACTGCAGAAGCAGCACATATTTTCACTATATTAATTTTCTGTCAAATACGATACAAATCTTACCGTTATATGTTATAATGGAGGAATTGTACCTGATACTAAAATGGGATTGACTACAAAGAGACCATTTATCTCTTGTACACAGAAGTCACAATCATTATTGTCTTTTAAATTTCAAAATGGGTAGTTATAAGAGTGCCTAGAAAGAAAACCACTCAGAAAACTATAAAAATATCAGGATATGGAGGAGACTGAAGTTTCAAGCAACAAGGTTCACAAACTTGGGGCATTGATGGACATTGTTAGGAGATATCCTCAGGATTGACATTGGCATTGGAGCCAATTTCATTATGTGAAAATACTCATTTCAAACCTTTGAGAAGTATGATTCGAAACTTCCCATGGTTGAAAGCTCAGGTACATTTTTCTTATGAGAAAGGTGCTGGGTCGCGGTGGTAGTCACCACGTTGTAATCTTCATTCCTATTGACACCACCCCACTATAACCTTCCAAAAAAAAAAACCTAACCCCTAGACCATTTGAAAAAATAGGTCGGACCTGCCTTCCCCCCACTGAATTCCCCCTAAAAAAAACCATTTTCCTTCCTAAACCAAAAGCTTCTTTGGTCATTTATGCAGCTTAAAAGTGAGGAAACTGAAATCCATTTTCTTTGACAATTGAGTAATGGAGAAAGCAAAGGGTATTTTGGAGGTAAGAAAGGAAGAAGAAGAAAGGGTATCTAATTTGTGCATAGAGCCACACAGAGCAGGGGAAGAGCCCAGCTTCTATGAGAGCTTTGCCATCAAGGGCATAACCGTCCAAGAAATTAAGCCTGGTTATGTCTCCTGCACCTTCACCGTACCTCCACGCCTCACTGTGAGAATTTTGTTCCTTCACCCCTTGCCCTAAAAAGATTTCTCTTATCTTTTCACTTTTTCATTCATTCTTTCTCACACCATTGGATCTTCTTTGTTATTTGCTTGATGTTACTCCTAAAAGAGCACCTCTGAAAAGAGTTGCTTGCTGAAGTTTTGGTGATTATATTTTCATGAATTTTTGCTGTTGGTATGGTATTTTGGAGAAGAGAATTGGATTAGGGTTGGCAATTTGCCGGGCGACCAAAGTAGTCGAAGCTCCGGTGGTCGCACATCGGCCGTTGAAGCTCCGTTGGTTGCATATTTGGCCAATAGGGCTGGTTCCGGCTGTACCATCATTGAAACAGCTCAGCTAGGCCCATATGCGACCACGCGAGCTGCCCTGCCGGATTGATCCACCCAGCTCATTGCCACCCATTAAGGAATTGAATGAATTTAACCACTAATAAATAGATAAATCATGAAATGATATAACCAATCACTAGTAAATTAACAAATCATGAAATGATATTACCATCAAAGAGCTCAAGGCAATTTTTTTGGAGATTTATGTCATGTAAATCATAATTTTGTGAAGGATAGTATCTTCCAATAGAGGATTGCGTGTTGAGGTTAATTGGTTAGTTAAGGTGTTGCCCTGTGGAGCACTATGCCCTACCACCTGCCCCAAAAAGGAAAAATAGAAAATATATATCAGAAAGAATATGAATTTCTTGTTTTTGGTTCTCTGATTGAGGTTTTCGTTATTGGGATTAGGGAATTGAATTATGAAACTCTCTCTTTCTCTTAGGGGTGGCATGGTCCGGGTGGACCGTTCCTGAACCTGAATAGCATTCAGTTCCAGGGTTTTGGACCCAGACATGGATCCGACCTTTCGGGTCCAAAATTTGGACCCATACCCGGATCCGAGATCAAGTCTACCGGGTCGTTGGGTCCATTGCCACCCCTTCTCTCTCTCTCTTTGAGGTTAAAGCCATTTGTGTTTGAAAACCGTACAGGATAGTAGTGGGAAATTATCAAATGGAGGCATTGCTAACCTGATAGATGAGCTTGGTGGGGTAGCAGTCCAAGCTGATGGTCGCCCTTTGAAGGTCTCTGTGGACATGTCCATTTCCTATCTCTCTCCCGCTAAGGCCTACGTAAGAAGCACTTGTTTCCCATTCACTCTATTTACATGTAGAGAGACAGAGTGAGAGCATCCCTGCATTACAACTCTTTTCCCACATACCACACATGTATAGAGAGAGCACCAATACAATACAATTCTTTTCCGACATGTTAACAGAGAATAAATCGACCATGAAGGGGAGAGAGAGAGAGAAAGCATTCATATGTGTCGAAGTTTTTGTCAACAGTTATTTGAAAGTGGCAACCTTAATTGAAATAAGGTTGCAATATTCTACACCGCCTAGTCTCGTGAAAAAAGTTATAAATCTATATCATCCAACTAGAAGAGATGGTGTAAAATACTGTAAAGTTACCACCTTATATAAATATTCAAAAGTTAGAATATTTTTTTCATATATTTAATGCACTCATTAATGAATGACATTAGCCCATTTTGTGAGTTTGATATCACCAGCATTAGTGCCTTTTAAACAACTAATAAAATATGAAAAAATATATAATGAGACCATTTATCTTTGATACAAGATAGTTACAATTAATTTGATCATTGGATGTAAAATTAGATAGATGCATTTATTCTATTGACCATGCTCAAACTTTAAAAGAATTTTTCTCGAACTTTGTGATACATCTAAGCTATCAGATTTCACATCGAATGGTTGTAAATAATTGTGACCTCCTTGTATCAAAAGCAAATAGTCTCATTGTATACAATCCTATAAAAATATCTAATTTACCTTAAGTAAGATGATTCTATATTAAAAATCAAATGTATTGAATGTCCAATGAATGTTAATGAATAAAATACATCACGGAGAACGGCCTACAAGATACACAAAAAAATCCTTCATTTGAGAGACACATACATCACTCTTGATCATGCATGAATACATACTCAGATGAAAATGTTCATCTCACATCCTCTCTATAGTTTGTTCCTTGATTGGGTATATGTTTTTTACTGTTGTTCCTTGAGAGAGTAGATTTTCTATCTTTTTCCAACTTGTAATGAAAGTTCTCTCCATTTCTTCATCTGATTAGTTGGTGGATTATGGCAGGATGAAGTGGAGATTGTGTCAAGGATATTGGGTCACAAAGGAGGCTATTCAGGGACAGAGGTTATCTTGAAAAACAGGAGGACTGGTGAAATAATCGCCCAAGGTCGACATTCTTTGTTTGGGAGGCTTAAAGCCAAAATTTAGGTATCTCTCTCTCTCTC